CGGCAAACTCCCCTAAGGCCAAGGATTTTATTTTATTCACTGCTCTATATGTAATACCTAGAACAGTGCCTGATAAGTAGTACTTGCTTAAAATGTTGAATGAACGACCATCACCCTTTTTTGTAAATTGCAACTTTCTCACTCCTTAAAAAAAAAAAATACTCCAAGCACTTCAAGCACTTTATCAAAAAGTAATGTTGAAATAAATGTATTTGTAGAAATTACTCAACTGAATCATTTGAATCTTCACTTGTATGTTTTATTAGTTCTTTTGGAGGGAAGAGGGGAGGTGTTTGGTATGCTTTGGTACTATTGTTATAAATACTTTGGGAATGTGAAAACTTTTGAGAAATGGTGTACACCTTTTTTTTGCAAAAACAAACAAACAAACAGATAAATAAAATTCCAAGTAACACACACAGTTCTGCTAGTAGTTTTATGCAGGGCATGAGTGATCTATAGCTTGTCTGTGGATCTCCTTTTGAATCTATAGTCTATTATATATATATTTTTTAAAAGATTTATTTATTTATGCATACAGAACTGGGGTACAGGCCAGAGGCTCAGGGGCGGTGAGAGGCTTCACCAGAGACAGAGTGGGGAGCAGAACAGGCAGATCGACGAAGCACACTGCTGAGGGGAGCAGCGGGCAGGTCAGGAGAGGTCTGCCGCGCCATGTGGTCACCTCCGGGGGCAGGCAGGAATCGAACTCATGCGGAAGTGGCTTTAGCTTCTCAGTGCAGTGCTTTAACCCGCTGCGCCACCAGGGAGGGCCTAGTCTATTATATTTTAAAGCAGGACTGGGCCCCATGTATTTTGGAGTCTGTGCTGCACTGAGAACAGGATCTTTATTCCCTATTAAGCTTCAGTGGGAGGTGCAGTCAAAGGCTTGATCCCTTTGCAGGTCGGTTCCTCACTCTTCAGCATGATCACCAGTCTCATTTGCTCAAGCAACAGTTTGACTTTATATTTATCACACATAATTCTAAGTTTAGAACACTTACTTTGTGGTAAGTATAACTGTTCCCAAAGTTAGAATTATATGTGATAAAAATAAAGTGTTCAGACTCAGCACTTATGAATATCTAGATAATTGCTGAGTATAGTATTAAATTCTTACTCAGGCCATCCTACAATATGTACACAGAATAAATACGATTTAGAATATAGAAAAATAAAAAGCTGTTCATGACTCTGCCTTCTGTAGTGCTTCATGCTAGCGAAGTGACTTGCTCTGAGGTTACTAATGACTCTGAAATTGTTAACAGCCCTGACTTAGAAGTCACCCTGCTCAACTCTCAGTCACATATGACACTGTTGATCATGGCCTCCTTTATGACACTGTCATCTTTTATGGCAGCCTTAACACTATCCTCTCATGTCTTGCTGCCTACTCTGATCACACCTCAGCTTCCTTCCTTGTCCCATCTTTATCAGGCTCACCCAGGATGTTCGCTGGGCCCTTTTTGTATTGCCGACTATGCTTTCTTCCTAGAAAGACTTACCAGAACTAAATTATCACCTAAAGGGGAATGGCTCCCCTAGCTTCAGCCCTAATCTCTCTTTCCAAAACTCTGGATCTGTACTTCCAAATGAAGTATGGCATGTCTCATAGATTCCTAACTATTTAACACATCTAGTTATGCCCCAAACTTACACTCCACATCTATCCTTCATCATAGTTCATGGCAGCACATCCGCCCAGTCACTGTCCTTCACTATGACTGGCCTGGGTTGTTGCATCAACAGTCATCATAAGTAGAGATCAAAAGCTAAGTCTCTGGAGCTGGATGGCCAAGGTTCAAACCCAGCTCAACCACATAATACGTGTGTGGCCTGAGCAAGATTCTTAACTTCTTCAAAGACCCTGCACTGCTTATGCAGTCATGATGTATTTCTTTACCATCTTCTTCCATCTCTATTCCTGCAAAGTCCCTCCAGCTGGCTCCTTTTTCCTTTCCTCTCTACGTCCCTCCATTCTTTCCTTCCTTGGTTTCTCCAACATTTATCAGATACTTGAGTAATTAAATTAGAGAGAAATAGAATTGAGCAATTTGTCTGTAAGGAGCTCACAGTCTGACACAAATTGTTACTGACAATACAGTGAGGAGAGAACACATAAGGGGAATGTGGGAGGAAAGTTGGGGATGGGAAGGGAGTCAATCTGAAGAACTTCTTTGAGGAGGGGACATGACATGTGGCTGCTTAGAGGGTTTTCTGGACAATTTCTTGCCATTCTTCAATAATTCTGACTTCTCTTTGCCTTTGCCTTTCAGATTTTTTGGGATGTCTTTGCTCCAAAATTGACTCTGTTAAGACTGTGTTTCAAAATCACCTTCTCTGTGACGTCATCCTCTACTTCCAAGTCAGCTGGATCTTTGTCTTCCTTGTGCAGTTCTCAGGACATCACACATCAACTGGAATGGCTGTTGGTGTCTTTTGGAATAGATTGTAGTATTTTCCAAAAAAAGACAGTGTTATTTACTTTTGAACTGCCCAAATGGCATAACTGGCTTATCATAGTAGTTATTAATATGTCACTAAATAAAGAGCTAGTTTTTGACCTATAAAAGAAAGTGTACAGTCTATCTGGTGGTGCAGGGGTTAAAGTCTCAGTGCTATCAAGCTATTGCCAGCCACTGTGGCATAGTTCCATCCCCAGCCAGGGAGCTGACCCACATGACACAGCAGATCTCTCCTGTCTCACCTGCTGCTCCCTCAGCAGTGTATTTCCATAAATCTACCTGTTCTTTGTTTTTAAAGATTTATTTATTTATGCATACAATAATTGGGGTATAGGCCAGAGATATGGGTTGGTGAGAGGATTCACCAGAGACACAGTGGGGAGCAGAACAAGCAGATGGACTGGAATGCACTGCTGAGGGGAGCAGCAGATGAGACAGGAGAGGTCTGCTGCACCACATGTGGGTCAGCTCCCTAGCTGGGGATTGAACTCATGCCAGTGCTGCAGTGGCGGTGGAGAGCTTCATAGTTCTGTGCTTTAACTCCTTGCACCACCAGGGAAGCCCAGATCTGCCTATTCTACTCCCCACTCTGTCTCTGGTGAATCTTCTCATCCCCTGTTCCTCTGTCCTATACCCCAGTTTTTGTATGCATAAATAAATAAAAATAAATCTTAAAAAAAAAGGTGTAAGACAAGAGGCCTTGTTGGTTCAGAGTAAAACTATCTAGATTACTGCTCAGTACCTACCACAGATCTCTGCAGAAAGTAGGTGTTCAGTAAATACTGAGTATTAAATAGTTCTGTAAGTGACATAGATAGGGAAGTAGTGGTAGGAATAAGGAAACATTATAAAATCTACTTTTGTTGATAAATTAAGATTTTCATATCCAGTTGATTGTCAGAGTTCTTGGTCAGGTATGATAACAATGAAGATTTGTTGTTATAGAGCTACTATTGGGGATTTCCTTTCTTCTCTGGGTTGGGTTGTTTCTAGAATCTTGTGCACAGTTAAGGCACCAAGATCTGGTGCTACTGAGAGCAGGATGCCATGGTATACAGGGTTACTGCCAACAATCTACCATTCTACTCCTTCTCTGGCTAAAAGCCTGGCAATCTCTTTTGCAGCTGTTCATGTTTCTGTCTTCTTAGGCACCCCATGTAGCCTTTTCCTCATTGTGGTTGTGCGTCATTCCTTGGAGAGCAGCCATCTGCCTATCTCTTTCTCCTGGTAACATTTACCTCCATTAAAGGGGGTTTGGTATAGTGGGTAGAGAGTATGGTGTGGAGATGAGAGGAATTCTCACTTCTCCTCTTCTTTCTTTAAAAATACTCGTGTTACCCTTTCACCAGAGGTCGAGGCTCTTTGTACAAGTTAGAAAGACTGTGCTATTTTCCATGATGTTTTTTATCCCTTTCCTGAGGGTTTGATTGCAGAACCCCTACAGGCATGAATCAAGGGGAAGGTAGAGGGGGAAAATACATGCATGGAGGGGGAAAAAAAGTCAACAATAGAGACTGACACCTCAGACTACTGTCCCAGTCACAATCTTTGGGTCTCTTCAAAATGGTAAGAAGGACAGATTACCTGTAAGGGACTTGAAACAGTGTGTAACACATGTACATGGGACAGTGAGTGCTCAATAAATGTTAACTCTTACTATTATCCAGGGCTCCTTCATCACAGCAGGACCTGGCTTTATGTCCTAAATTAAGTTCTCTAAAATGATCACTCTCCCCCACCCCCCACAAAGTAGTAGTGCAAAGCTTTGTGCATAATCTATTTCCCATACTGCCCCAGGACTGTTCATGCTGGATGCTGAGTTCATTTCTGGTCTCCCTGGGGGGTGGAGTTGCTACTGTACCTGTAGGGGATTCTCTTCCTTCCCAGTACTGGTTTCCTTCTCATTCCCTACCTCTAATCCCCAGGGAGCTCAGTCACATGGGTTCCTCCCAGTCCTGGTTTGTGTATAGGAGTTGCTACTGGCCTTTCTGGTAACCCTAGCACTAGATAATTACATTGAAATTCAGAAGCAGCACGCATGTTTCTGCACGGACTTCTTTAATTAAATTCAACAAACATTTAATGAGCACCATTTTGTAAATACATTTGGTCCTTAACTGTTTACTCTGTTTCAGTTACTTAGTTTCGGTAATGCTGATCCATCCTTAAGGATTTTATGAAGAATACATATTAAAATAGAAAACATTTGCACAATTCTTTGCAAATATAAACGTCCTGTGTGGATTATTGTTGCTACAGTATTAATATTAATTGCAAAAACAACACGGCTGCTTCCCAAACAGGCTGTAGAACGCAGCTGTAAGGCCAACAAGAGCCAGACGGAAAAGGTCAGGGGAGGTGCCTCTACTTCGTCCGGCCCAGAAGGGGTGGAGCCTAAGCAATATACCTAAATCCCGCCCCTTCGCTGTCCCTCCCCCTTCGTCGGTGCAGCGTAGGCGGTTACCATGGCGATGACGTCTGGAGGGCGGGGCGGGGCGGGGCGGGGCTATGGAGAGGAGGAGGAAGATGGCGGGAGGGCGGCTCTGAGGAGACCTCGGCGGCGGCGGAGGAGGAGAGAAGCGCAGCGCCGCGCCGCGCCTGGGCCCATGTGGGGAGGAGTCGGAGTCGCTGTTGCCGCCGCCGCCGCCGCCGCCTGTAACTGCTGGACCCGAGTGGGAGTAAGAGGGAGACGACAGGATGAAGTTCGCCGAGCACCTCTCCGCGCACATCACTCCCGAGTGGAGGAAGCAATACATCCAGTATGAGGTACAGACGGCGGCCGGGTGTGGGAGGACTCTGAGGGGCCACCATCTCGCCAGTCCGGACCTCCACCTCTGCCTTCCGCTCTCGCTGCTTCCCCGCGCCGGTGCGGACTTTGACCCGGTGCCGCGGGAGCTACTGCGGCATCCCCGCCGCGGCCGGCCTCCCCGCGGGCCCCGCTGACCTTCCCCCTCCCCCGCAACCCCGCTGCCGCCGGGGTAACGGATATGCCGGCGGCGGGCCGGAGGGAGGGCTCCTTCCTCGGAGCTGGGGAATGGTGGTGGGAGGGCGAGCCGCAGGTGGGGAGTCGGGGTGCGGGACAGCCCCAGGTCCCGGCCCTTCCGCTCCGACCCCCTCCTCCCGGCTCACCCTGACCTCCGGTCCCCACCCTGGGCGAGCACCCCCTCGGCAAGGTTAGATCTTGTTTCTCTTTGCTTTGCTTTCACCGAGGAATCCTCTTCCGTGACCAGCCCCTCCAGTGATTTCCTTCATTCCGCAGAGCCCTTCGGCTTTCCCCCGCTTGCCCACTGTTGACAAAGGCTTTGTAACAGGGATGAAACTTGACATAAATGTATACCACTTATGCAGTGGATACTGTAAGCAGACCTATTGTAAGGAGCTATCCTGTTTTGATAACAAGACAGTGACTCGTCTTTTTACTGATTGCACGAAGTATGCAAAGTAATCATATCTTTGGTTTTGGCTTTTCTGTTGCTTTGGAATGGAGTGTAGGGAGAAGAGGAAGGTGGCAAGAGGAGAGAATTATTAAAGGTTTAGGGGTTTTCTCCTAAAATTTTTGTTCGCTAGCGAGTGAAGTATTGTAAACATTGTGCTTTTAAAACATACCTGTGTATTATTATCATCATCATCATCATCATCATCATCATCATCGCCCCTTCCTCCCTAATTTCGGTGATAACAGCTCCTGGAGGGTATTTAACAGTGATAAGGAATCTTACACTATACAGGGGAAAGTAAAGATAATAAAGGCATGTATATATATTAAGAAGGCAAGATACCTAAAGGGCTTTAAGCGTTGTAGGTGGTTCTCACAAGCTGGCAATTCAGCTCCTGGATAGAGAAAGGCTTATCTGTAACCTCCAGGAATTTACATGTATGTTATGTGCAGGAACAAAGAGTATAAAATCAATATGAACATAAATGTACTAGCTATATCTTGTGAATGAACATTTTTTAGTTTTCTATTTAAGTTCAGAGCTACGCTTTTTAGGCATTAGCAGCAAGTTTTTTATTCATATGGTCATTGTAGTAATTGAATGAGGGAAAGGGATGTAGGTAGGTTAAATAACTTTGTAGATCGTAAAATATATTCATTTGTAACATACAGTATTTGATTATTGCCGGACATGAAAGGCCTAGCATTATTAATGCTTTGTTGTCACTTAATTTTCTTAGAGTGTTTTGTGACCACTTTTTATAAAGATGAAAAAAAGACTAGCTTTTCAGCTGGTAGAATTTTTGATTTATTGTTTCTAATAACATTCAGTCAGTTTTAAAGCCTTGGCTAGAGTCCAGATGATGGTTTTTATTGAAAGGAGGGTATTAGTCTTTCATCTCTCTAGTAGGAATTTTCAGCACCACTGCCAGTTCTTCTAGAGGCATAGGACACAGCACGCTGAAACAACATCCAATACTTGTCAGATAGTATGGAATGCTTGATTTAGCCAGAAGTAATAGTGGCTGGTTGTATGCTATTATTTATATTAAGTATTGCAGCACTTAACTGTTTCACAGAATTGTATTAATTTGGAATGTCTCCTGTTGGAAGGGGGAGACATAAGATTGGTTTGAAAATGCAGTTTCCTTGATTTGTAGTTTCAGCTTTGTGTTAGAGTAGCTATAGTAATTCTAGGATTCCTCATTCAAGTGCGCATTTGAATGCTAGACCTAAATGGTTACTTTAGGTTGTTAACAAAAGCACAAAATTCCCAAGCATGAGTGTGACTCTTACTATGTTTCCTGGGCCAATTTATATTATTCCTTGAAAACATTTTTTATTGTGGAAAATTGAAATTTGATTCTGTAGAGTTCCTATTATGTGACTCCAGTTCTGGATAAGCTTATTGCTTAGTAGGCAAAATTAAATAAGGGGCACTTTGTGAATTGAAGCTATCAAAGGAGCTTTTTTTTAATAGGGTTGCTATTTTTGTGTTCTATATTGTTTTTCAACTAGTGCTATTCCTTTAAAAATAGTTAAAGAAGCATAAGTAAGAGCTTTTGAGTCCCAGAATTTTGGTGACTTACAAACTTTGGAGGGAGAAAAGAACATCATAAATCATGTTAACCTTTGCTAGAGAAAAGAACGTTTCATAATGTAGTAACATACAGACACTTTAATTTTTTTATGTTAAGCACTGATACTGAAATTTTGTTCTACTACCTCTGATTTCTAGCCTGTGGTGCTTTCTAGTGCTGTGAACTACTTTGAAATGTTTAGCTTCTTTGGTTCTTATGTTATTTTGCTATATTAAATTTTACTTGAATAAGCACAATATTAGATAGAAACTGAAAATGTATTGTTATGTATACTTTGGCCTCACGATAAATGCTAGTTCTGTTATATATTAGCCATGAATTCCTGGGGACAATCTATTTTGGTTTTTAGAGTTCTTTCCTCTTCCAAAAAGTAAGAAAATAGATCTAGAATTTTTCAAGGTCCATCCTAGTACAATAGGGTTTTGATTTAACTTTTAATGGTTTTGTTCCTTGGATTAAAATTATTAAAGATAATGGCCCATCAATATCCTGAAAATTATAATTTTTAATTATAATTTCTAATTTAAAAATAAATTGTGGGTTTCATAGCCTGATTGTTCATAGATGGACTAGTAAAATATAAAAGAATAGAACAACATGGAGAAACCATAATCCATTTGTGAATAGTTTTTACGATGAATAAACACAAAAGAGCAGAGACTGACCCCGAAATAGAGCATCAATAATTCGTTGAAGGAATACAGTTCTTATTTAGAATTGGTAATCATATATTTTAGTGCTCTGTAATTGATTAATCAAAATTAACTTAGACTGTTTTCAACCAAATAGATTAATGTAGCCATGTTAATATTTTACAGAATATTAGCAAAAGAAGCAAGTACATTTGGTGCCTTCAGCTGCTGACTTGTGTTTTCTTCCCTGGGGTCCTGTGCTGCTTTGGTTTCTTAAGAAGCATGATTTTTTTTTTTTTTTTTTTTAGTGTATACTGTAGTTTTGTAAGGTACTAAAACAATGAAGTAACAGAATTTCAGAATTTTAGAGCTTAAAGGGAATTTAGACATTATCTACCTCTTTGTTTTTTCAGACAGGGAAGCCAAGGTCTAGTGAGGTGAAGTCTCTTGTCATAGCTAGTCTCTCGAGAACATAGATCTTTAAGGATTGTGAGCCAGGTCATCCTAGCTGTGTGACCCTAGTGAAATCACTTCCTCTTTTCAGGGCTTTAGTTCTTCATCTGTAAAGTGAGAGAACTGGGCTTGAGGGTTTTTAAATACAGCCTGTATTTTCTACAGAGTCTTCCATCTCTAAATTTTGTGTATTTTTTTATGGTTTAATTATGTATGACATATGAAGAAGACAGGACTTAAAGGACTATTATAAATAGTATCCTTTTAAATTAATAGTGCACTTTCAAAACATTTTGATGAGATTTTAATTTGGAAAATGGAAAGCTGATCCAATGAAACTTAAATTTAACTTAAATAAAAAGTGATAGTCATGGATTGATGTCTTTGTTGCATTATGTGGGAAAAGGGCGATTCTGCATAAACTTCTTTGACCCCTGTTTTCATGTGTAAGGAAATATTGCCATAATATTATGATTTTCATTTATAGATCTCTCCCAAGAGAACACTTGTGTTGCAGGCTTCAATTTCCCAAAGGTATTATATTGATTAGTTAGGGTTAACTTCCCTTGCTGGAACTTGTTTGAAATTTCCAGTTTGGCCACCCGATGGGGCACAAACCACATTTTTTCTTTTAAGCATTTCTGCTAAATGAAAGTAGAGTATAGTGTATTTAAGCATACTTGTAAGTGATTGAATCAGTGAGATGCCTGACATTCACAGATGTTTCTTAAATGAGTGACTGAATGTTGTGTAAAATAGGAAGTTACTGTTTATTATTTTTGTGTAATAAAGTGTCAAGATAAATATCCTGGAAAAATTATGTACTTGTCAGTCTATCCCTGAAGGTTGGTTTTGAATAAGCTTTTGGGTGAAGACCCAATTCATAAAAGCCTATGAATCTTATCTTACCTAGGTGACCATGAAAAATCAGTTCTGGCTTCAGATTCAACCCTCATTTGGAAAGCATTTGAAAGACTAAATTGTGCTGGCTAGGGGTTTCCAGTATATTTGAGGTATAGACCCCTAAAGGAGACTACCCTCAAGGCACATGGAATAAGGGAAGTTCATTATATTTGTTTTTATGCATAAGACAAGAAAGAAGTAAAATTTTACCTTTAATGAATGGATTGATGTGCTGACTTTGTTTATGATATATTACATCACAAAATGTGCAAGTAAGATTAAAAAAATAAATTTTTCTAAGGAATCTCCATATACTGTTGGTGGGAATATAGATTGGCACAGCATTATGGAAAATAGTGGGTAATTCCTCAAGAAATTAAGAATAGGAATACCATATTATATTCCTGGGTATTTACCTGAAGAATTTGATAACACTAATTTGAAGAGATACATCCTCATATTCATTGTAGTAGTATTCACCATATGAAGCCAAGAGCTGGAAACAACCTGAGTGTCCACTGACAGATGGTGGATAAAAAAAAGGTGATACTTACATATATACTAGAATACTCGTCACTAGAATATATATATATATATATATATATATATATACACACACACACATATATATATGTGAAAAAAAGATGATATCATGCTATTTGTAACAATATTGCAATACCATTGATGTACTTGGATGGTATTATGCTAAATGAAATATTAGAGAAAGACAAACACTATGAT